TAGATGAATAGATAGATATGGATCTATGGGTAAATAGAAAGATAGATGGATAGATAGATAGATAAAGAGATAGATAGATAGATAGATAGATAGATAGATAAATAGATAGATAGATAGATAGATAAATAGATAGATATGGATCGGTGGGTAAAAAGAAAGATAGATGGATAGATAAATAGATAAAGAGATAGAAAGATACATAGATGTAGATAGATAGATAGACAACAAAGATATAGATATAGAAATAGATAAAGATAGATAGTTAGATAGATAGATAGATAGATAGATAGATAGATAGATTTAGATAGATAGATAAATAGATAGATAGATAGATAGATAGATAGATAGATTTAGATAGATAGATACATAGATAGATAGATAGATAGATAGATAGATAGATAGATAGATTTAGATAGATAGATACATAGATAGATAGATAGATAGATAGATAGATAGATAGATAGATTTAGATAGATAGATAAATAGATAGATAGATAGATTTAGATAGATAGATAAATAGATAGATAGATTTAGATAGATAGATTGATAGATAGATAGATAGATTCACATGCCACTTTCTGAATGATTTACATTATTCCATAATTATAATATTTGAGGGGTTTATATCATCCAAAACACCTGCAAGAATTGCTCTTTTTCTAGGACATAGAGGTCAGAAAAGGTTGCTGAAATGAGATACAGAAATGAGAAATATTATATCCTTTTCGCTGTCTATTGGCCCATATTTACAGTGATTTTCTTGTACAGCCACAGGCAGTATGGTTTGCTGAGTAAGACATATTGCTGTTCAGTCTAGTGCATACAATTTGTATCTTCCTGCTGTAGTTTGTTACAACCTTTTAATAATAGTGGTTGCTGATGATAGGTTTGGTGGTGTGTAAATACGGAGATGTATTATGTCAGCAGCATTTATACCGTGCACACAGGCACTTAGAAATTAGCTCCTAAATATATTGCATATCTGGGGCATATACTTGGATATAAATAGTCATGGGAGCTCTATTCATATCTACGTAGCCATACACACCTGGTAGGTTGTTTGCAGGTTCTTTTTTTTTTCAGTGGCAGATTTACAATACCGGTACATATTACACACACAGATGCCATATGTAAACTTTAATATAATTTGTTGTTGCTGTTGCTTGAATGTTTATTTTTCATTCTTAATTATGGCTTGGAAATTTGAGACAACCTATTATGTTTTCTTCCAGAGTTAACAGGCACTTGCCCCCCCCCCCCCAAAAAAAAAAAAAGAAATGCAAATCCTGGATCTACAACTGGATTTTAATAAATGTTTGCATTGTACATTGGAGCTGCAGCAAGATGTTATCTTTTAAATAGTTTATTTGATTTAAATCATTAATGCATTTGAAAGTTTGCTTCTAGGTTCCCAGGGGAAGTAGGGTAGAAGGGGCTGTTATATTAATTAAAACTTTTAGTATGATGATTATGTGTGATAGCTAAAGCTAATCTTCATTTTTTTGCAAAGGAATGAAAATAAAACACAACACAACATTTCATGCAGATTTCAGGACTTGCATTTGTTTTCTTTAGAGTGACTATACAATCAAATGGGACTTTTCAAACAAGAGGCCCTAGATCTCAGTCTCCTCTCACATAATGATAAACTCGACTATGGTGGGCTATCTTAAAAGCTCTCGAAAGTTTGACCTCATGATGTCGCATCTCATGACAACTGGACAACTGTACAAGGAGAGCTGAATTCAGACTGACCTCAACTCAAGAGATTTGCTAATGTAACAGAAAAATGCAGCCCTCAGAGACACAAGCGCCTTTCCTATTCTGTCACAAGCAAGCTGTTGATGTAAATGGGATCTCGCAGTAATGGTTGTTTAGTTCATGTTCAGAGGGAAACTTTTGTACATTTTAAGATCTTTTATTTCTTATTTTAAATGCATTTAATTGCAATAGTAATAGAAGCTTCTTACATACTGCATTGCGCACATGTCTATCACGCCATGGTGCTCCTAGTGTTTCAGCATTATTACCTTGGGCTGAGCCGAATGGCCAAATGACTAATGCTCTAGCATGTTGGGTACACACCTGGATGGAGAGTGACAAACGTGAATTAATGCCTTTCTGAAGGACCTTGATGCCGGGCTGCCACTATACCACAACACCTCCAGTTCAAATAATTTCCATACGCAATGAATGGTAGAATGAGATGAAATCAAAGAAGAGCATTTACTTGGCATTAATAAAAATTCTACTAAAAAGTAAAACCCTTTAAGGATTTCTTTATTGACTTTGTGTGTACCTCTCTAAAATTGCAATTCATGAGAAGAGATTTGAAGCGTTGCTTAATTAAATCGAACTGAGAATAATCTTTGGAATTTTTGTTTTTTCATCACTTATTCTTTGAAACCTATTTTACAGATAATACATTTTCTTTCTAAACTAGGGGGGGGGGGGGCATTTCAAAGGTAATATACGTATGAAGAAAAATTTAGGCCAATGAATTATACAAAAGATGCCAAAGTAATATTATTTGGCTTCTTTAATCTTATAAAGGTAGAAAATAGGAAAAAAACATTTCTTAACTTCAACAATACAAAATAAAGATTGCACTTTTTGTGTGTGTCAATCAAGAGAATATTGAATGTCTGTTATATTGGCGCCGTGACATTTTAGCTCCATTTGAAGATCTATTATGCACTGAATTCCCCACTACCACACTCCATGACATGCATCTGAATAAACCATTTTCATATACTTGTAGGAATGATTTTTCTCCTGCTATGTGCATTCGCGGCGAAATTGACGACGTTTTCACGGTCACCGGCGAGCGGAATTTGATTAAGTTGGAGAAAACTGATTGCTTTGTTGATTTCCCAGCAGGGTCGGTAGAGGAACTTTTGTGTGTCTTGCATGTGAATGTGACCATTCATTAAAAGTGGGTTACACAAATAGAAAGTGATTGGTTTGTAGATGTAATGAACATGATTTCATTTAGAAATAGCTCTAGAGATAGCAATCACTTGATGTCAAGGATAGTGAGAGCCTTTGTGATGTGTTGATGTGTATTTAATCTATGTAGGCTAGAGAACATTGAAGTAGAACTTGGATTTTACTAAATATATTGATTCATCGCTTGTAGATGGATTGGTATATAATTTTACACTAATTCAATTTCAGGGCAATATAAAAAGATTACATTAAAATAGCATCAATCATGTTTTAGGGGAAGAGAATTAATACATTCCCAAATTGATTGATTTTTTTTCTGAAAAATTTGGTAATTAGTTATTTTTTATTTGTCTGAATAGGTGAAGCAGATTTTGCTATTCAAAAATGATATAATGATTATACTATAAGATTTAGAGCAAATAATATAGATAAGAAAAACACCCGCTTTCATTTTATAAGTAAAAAACAAAAACAAATTAATTTCTTTTAAAGGATGCTATTGACGACATGAGTATTACAGTATGTTATATTGTAATTATTTAGCAATAAGATCACCGAAATGTTACTTAGGACAACATTTTTTTCTTTAAATAAAAGCAAGTATATATACACAGAAAATATTTTGAAGTAGGAATCTGCAAGACACACTTAAAGTATATTTTATTGATATTATTGGCTTTGCTGAATATGGCAGGTGTTTTTACTGCTAAAATATTAAATAACAAAAATCTCGTGAAACGTGGGATTTTGCATGGAAGTAGATTAATGATAAACATTGCTTAAATAGCTTATAGAACAGGTGTATTTTCAAAGCAAGATTATGCATACTTGTAAGTCATTTTGTTTGGTTTTCCTGTTAGTTTGAATATGAGGATAAAAAATTAAGAAAAAAAAGTTTTCAAGGCTGAGAAAGTAGAGTATTATGCACACATTTCATGTAACTTTTTAAAATATCTTCAAACCAATTTCATTGAGCTTCTTTTCAATAAGAGTTTTAAAATATTGCTCTTGGCTAAATGAAAATGAATAAATTATTTCAGTTGCAAAGTACAGATATTGTTAAGTAAAAGATTATTGAATTGAATTTTGAATATATTAGATGACTGTCAAGTGGATGAAGAAATTTAAGTCCTATTCACTACATTATACAAAGAGTATCTTTGATTAGATGATAGGATAACGGATATCAAGCCACAGAAGAACGTTATCATAAATTGGTGTACCTCTTTTAAAAAAAAAGAGATTTCCTACCCCCTCCCCCTCCCTGGTATATTAACAGTCTCTGTGAACTTTACATGTGAAAGGTGAAGCAATGGAGTGTGTATCTATGTGTTCATTATATGCCTGACCGATTCCCAATGTCCATGGAAAGCGGAGCTAACTGAGGATGACGGCCGGGCCTTGATTAAACGCGTCCCCCGGCAAGGCGCATCGCCAATAACCTGTCATCGATTATGCCAGCGTTTTATTGAATACATATTCTAATTCTGCTACGAATGAACCCATTGTGAGCATGTTAGGCTAGTTGTTTTTTGTGTGATGCACTATTTTTTATCAATTAATCATGAAAGAGTGTGGACACGACAGGTATCAGTCACGTTTGTGAAATGAAATATTTAAACCTAAATAATTAGGCTGTAGGAAGATATAGGCCTGAGTATCTTTGCCCTAACATTTTCTTTCTGTCTCTGGCTTTAGTTTTCATATTGTTGGCAGCAGTGTAGGAAAGTTGATACCGGTGTGGAGGAATCTGTCTGTCGTTCTGTCTTTCTGTTTGTCCATCAACATTGCCGTCACTGATGCATAGAGTATCGCATTGACAAGGGAGGATATTAAAACGTGGGGCGTTTAACACACCATAGAATGAGACTGGGATGCCACGTGAATATGAATACGGGCTGTGTGTATTTGTGTGTGAGGGAGAGACAGAGAGAGAGAGAGAGAGAGAAAGAGAAGCAGAGGCCGGTGCGTCGTGCATACACGTAGGATCCGTTAGTGTGTGTGTATCCTTTTGGTGCTGTATTTCTAGTTGGCTCTATGTGTGTAGAACACCCTCTCTCTTTTCCCCCTCTCTTTCTCTCTCTGCCTCTGTCATCCGGCAAGTGGGATGCAGAAGATCTGAAATCCCTCTCCCGCTCTCCGCGCTCCACTAATACCCCATCGCATCACTCGCGGGCTAGATCAGAGGAGGAGCATAACAGGGATATTTATCCAGTCAGTGGTGTGTTATTCACGGGCATCTCCGTACCTTCGTCTGTTTGCCGGCCACCAAGCCCCACATTGGAGACTTATGTTTATCATCTTTCGGTATTGGCGGAACGGAACGGAAGGGATTTTTGAAGGGAGCTTGCCTACTGTATGTTTACAGACGTGGAGTATTTGGTGAATCTGGAATTATCACTTGAGTCTAGATTGGGCAATTGCTTTGGGCATTTTGGTCGTTGTATTTGTGCATGAGTGAAGATGTCATTTAACTTCTGAGTATAGAGGGTATGTATGTTAATATATATTTTACTGTGTCAGTAGACCTATTGATTAAATTTTAGTATTACAGTATACAGTTTAAACTAATTCAACAATCAAGATTTAGAAGCAATATTTGTAGATTTAAACATATATATATGACAGATATCACAATCAATTTTATATTTCAGATCATTATCGTGTTATGTAGTTTGTCATATATTACTTTAATGATAGCAATTAAGGCAATATATTTTTTTTTATTATTATAGGGAAAATCATTTTGACTTGCTAACCATTTCCACACTCATTCTAGTTCCTCCAGTAGTTCCTCCGTTAGTTCCTCCTACTAATTTACTTCTTTTGAGTACATTGCTTTTGTATAGCTTGCAGCAACATACTAATGGGGCTTCACTGTTCAAATAAAACAAATCATGCATACCTAAATGCAAGTTGATCTTCAAACAAACTTCATTGAACGCAACGACTTCATTTGTATGTTGATTACTATTTAAATTTAAAATGGTTACTCTGAAAGAAATGTATTTAAAAAGCATCAGTGTTATTTTGCATCACATCTTTTGCCTGAGGTGAGATATAAATGTCCTGAAGATGTTCTAGTTACTAATGGGACTCCCCTGTTCAAATAAAACAAATGACGCATATCTAAATGCAAATTGATCTTCAAACATACTTCATTGAGAGCAACGACTTCATTTGTATATTGATTACTATTTAAATTTTAAATGGTTACTCTGAAAGAGATTAATATTAAAAGAATTAGTGTTATTTTGCATCACATCTTTGCCTGAGTTTAGATATAAATGTCCTGAAGATGTAAAGTAAGCAAGATTTCAATTTCAATTTCAATTTATTTTCCATCTTTAAAAAAAAGAACAAATATAACATAGTATTGACACATTGTATTAAAATAACAACATAAACATAAACATGGAGGGATACCCTTAATAAGCAGGTTGCTTGTAAGCAGGGCCCCGGTATACAATATAAAATTTATAACTTTGTTACAGAAATATCTAAACATTTGAGAAAATTATAAAACAGAAAATTAAATATAAATTAGGAAATTGTGATCATCTTAACAGCTACTATAAATAGACAGATACAGGTACATGTCCACACACAGACATACAAACACCCTAGCATGCACACACTAGCATACACACACAATAAGATAGATGAGATAGAGTAAAATATCATAGGGAAGGAATACATAGAGAAGGAGAAAGAGAAAGAGAAAGAGAGAGAGAAAGAGAGAGAGAGAGAAAGAGAGGGGAGGGGGGGGGGGGGGAGTCAGTATTACAGAAGAAAAAAATAGAATGAGTAGGCATGGTGAAAAGAAAAGAGAAAGAGAAAGTTTTAGGAGTGGAGAGAGCTCATGAAATAGGAGAAGAAAATTAGAATTAATTAATACATTTTATATATCTACTTAGCACATATTAATATTGGTGAGATACAGTCTTTTTATAGAAAATTTGAATTTTGACAGAGTTGAGCTTTGTTGAATACTGTGATCAAGGCTGTTCCACAATTTAATATATTTTACACGGAATGAGTTTGAGGCCATGGAGGTGGAAATCTTAGGTTGATGAAATAGTTTACATTGACGAGTGTTGTAATTATGTACAGACGAATTAAGGGTGAACATATTTTCAAATATTTTTGGTAAAAATCCAGACTGGTATTTATACATAAAAATAAGAGAGTTCATAGAAATTAATTCAGAGATTGGTAAAATATTCATTTTCTTAAATAATGGCATACTCGGACAGTAATATGGGGATGATCTAATAAGTCTAATTGCTTTTTTCTGAAGTATTGTTAATCTAGAAAGATGGCTTTTGAAAGTATGACCCCATACTGAGTTACAGTATGTTAGGTGAGGCAAGATTAAACTATAATATAAAGTGACGAGTATGTTTTGTGGTAATATAAATTTGAGCCTTGATAGGATTCCTATCTTGATACTTTAGTACAGATACTACTAATATGCAGTTTCCATGAGAGAAATTTGTTGACTGTAATACCTAAAAATTGAACATTATCCACACGTGATATATCATGACCACCAATAGTAATATTATTAAGATCATTCGGGACCCTCCTGTTCCTCGTTCTGAAAATCATAAACTTTGTTTTGTCAAAATTCAATGAGAGTTTGTTGCAACAAAACCAATCATATAAATTATTAACTTCTTTATTAGTAATGGACATTAAATTATAGATATTCTTGTGAGAAGTTAAGATGCACTTTTCATCAGCAAATAATGAATAACGAAATAATTTGGAAGATTGTGTTATATCATTTATATAAACAAGGAACAGGAGGGGCCTGAGTACAGAGCCTTGCGGAATTCCATATTTAGTAAGTTTACGTTGAGATTGGACACCATTGACCACAACATACTGATACCTATTATTCAAATAATTTTTAAACCAATCTAAAGCTAGCCCTCTAACACCATATGCATTTAGTTTACGAATGAGTATGTTGTGGTCAATGGTGTCAAAGGCTTTTGACAGATCCATAAATAATCCAATACAGTAATTGCCATCGTCAATTTGTTGTGATGTAAAATTTGCAATATTTAATACACCCATAGAAGTTGAAAATTTTCACGGAAACCAAATTATTCAGGTATGAGGATGTCATTAATTTGAAGGTGGGAATACAATCTTTTATGAACAACTTTTTCTAGAATTTCTTTGATTTTGGAGAAAAGCTGGAGTGAAAAACATAAATTTACATGATTAGATTCATGAGAAGTGCATATTGATATAAATGTTTTATGAAAAGCGCTATATAAGTAAAAGTTATTATTATTATTATTATTATTATTATTATTCCATTTACAAAGGAAGGGAGGCTAAATTGTGTAATTCCATATCTTCCTCATGAGGGAGGGGTGTGGGTAGAATTATATTGTGTATGTTACAGAGAATGAATGGGTTCACCAACAAACTGATTCAGCCTCTCACACATCAGTATTAAGAACTGTGAACTATGGCTTTGATTCACATACCACACCATATTGAAAACAATTCATACTTGCTTTCATCATGAAAACATACCATTCCGCCATCAAAATTTTAACTTGTAAACTATACATGGATGATAATTATGTGATTGGCATTGCTTTCTGATTGGCATTGTTTGACTATGTAAACATTGTGTGACATTCTTTGTCAGAGATGATGAAAAGGAATGTTATTATTTGTTATATTGTCCATTACGACATTCTGTGAATTCCTTGATTTAGATTAAAATTAAGCCCTTAATATCCCTATATGTTAATTTGTGTGCAGGGATGGAATGGCTTGGTGAAACCAAGATAAATAATGTATTGATATATTAATATATCATAATATTGGTACCCTTTGTCTTGTTATATAAAAATGCAACAAATCAATTATTCATTTGAAACATAGTAATCTGATATTGTATTTCCAATATTATTGTTTGTATCACAAAACAGTGTGTATGTTTTGTTTATCCATACATGATAATAGAGACATCTAATTGATCAGAATACTCAAAGAAAAAAAGACACCATTTAAATATATTAGTCAATGCAGACAATTCAAGCTGTGTCCCTTTAACAGTGTTTCATTTCACACCATCTAGCACTACCTAACTTATTTGATTTATTGAAGCATTGCAAAACAGCTCCATATTGTAACACCCTCACACCCTTGTCAATTTGTTAATGACATCACTTTGCCATCTTTAGATTAGACAGTACAGCGTCATCATCATAACAAATGCTAAAGAGTTCTGAATCCAGAGTGTCCTACATGTAACCAATCTAATTAACAGAGGTGTACTTTTTACCTTAACGCTTAGTGCTTCATTAGATGATGTTTATGAAGGCTCGTCAATATAATAGATTTTTTCCTACTCTGTCTGCTAATTGAAAAGATTTTTGGAGCGTTCTATTTGCATGTCCCAATTTTTCTTTTGCTTTTATTGAGTAGCAGTTATAGTAGGTGGTAATAGTTCAGTGTATTTATTAGAAGTGAGCTAATTGATGGATATATTAAAAGGGGCAAATAGGTGTAGTGTGCTAATTATTTTTCTTTATACATGTTTGTATTGGACAATCTAACAACACATTATTTTGTTGATGATTGTAATCATTAGTAAAGTGGTTAATGATTTAGCATATTTTGTAAAAACACACCTATATATCGTCGCTGTTTTCACAAAGTGACGGTAGTGAAAAAAAATTGCATTCACTTTGCGTTACGATTTTCCTCACTACCGTCACTTTGTGTCACTTATAGTATGTCATATTGGCTTTTTTGTTTGTGTTTTGGAGAAGCCTGCACCTGTATGCACTTTTGAATGTTTTAGCTTTAAATGATGTTGCTTTGAATGTTTAAAGATTTTTTTAAAAAGAAGATAGTTTAGGAATGCTGTGAATAGTCTTTATCATCATCATCTTCATCATCATCTTCATCTTAATTTTCAAGCCTTATATATATATATATATATGCCCATGGTAGGAGAGTTTGTTTACCTCTTCAGACTTGTGCACTTGCTTTTACATGAAATTCAAAGAGAGAGAAGTTACTATTTATAATGAGTAATATTTCTGATTTATTGGTTGATTTCTTGATGGTATTGTCCAAATCATTCAAAGGATCGTGAGAGGAAATTCATTATTCTTTGAGCTGTTTACCTTCGGACAAAAGTTTGTTCACCTTTGAAGACAAAGTCGTCCACAGACAATAATACCATTCAGTTGGTATAGAATCAATGAAACACTGAAACATGCCTTTGTGAAAATCACAATAGAAAATACCTCAATGAAAAGTTTGTTGAACTGGCATAATGTGTATTTCCCTGTGTAGCCACACTTAACTGTGAGTTTCCATCTGTTCAAAATGCGGAAATGTACTGAGCAAGATGGGATGGAAAATGTAACACCTGACTGGATATTTTGAGAGATTTTAGTAGACAAGTTTATGGAATAGTCATGTTCTCCTGCTAGTAGGTATGTAGATTAATTTTCATCTCATGGTAGTATTGTAAATCTTTCAATGTTTTTCAAAAGAGTTGGTTAGGGAATTATTTTCATTGTGGGAGCACTGTGGTGTCTTATGTTGGTGAAGGCTCTTGATTTCATTGAAGAGGTCCTAGGTTCAATCCTCACTTGGTGCCTACACTTGGACAAGGCGGCTTACCCACACTAAAGTCCCTGAGACACAACCTAGGTTTAAAATGGATACATAACAATGCTGGAGTAATAATAGTTGCATGGCCTGCAATAAGACCCAATGATTTTAATAGGAGGTATTTTGGTTGTATTAGTCATGTTTAATTCTTCCATGTCATTCAATCAATATTGTTTTTCCAAAAGCCATTCATAATAATCTTCCTTCTCTCTGACTGAAGATGTGTGCCATGATGTGTAAATGATACTTTTAGTAATTACTTTGATGTTGGGTGAGACCTTGCATTCAGGTAATAGTGTTCCATCTCATTGGTGGCTTTGAAATTAAACTGCGGATCTATATAGTTGTCTTAGATAGGAAGGTAAGAGGTGTAGTAAGCTACTGGAAGACAGTGAGAGTGAGAGGGTTGAGAGAAAGAAAGATACTAGGAGGAAGAGAGAGAAATAGAGGGAGTGAGGAAAGCAACATAGAAGGGCGAAGAGAGATTAAAAGGAATGAAGTAGGTGGTAAATGAGAGAAAGAGAGAGAGAGAGAGAAAGAAAGAGAGAGAGAAAGAGAGAGAGAGAAAGATAGAGAAAGAGAAAGAGAGAGAGAGAGAGAGAGAGAGAGAGTGCAAAGCAAAGGGAAGAGAGGTGCTGTGCAAGGGTGTAATTGTATTTGTATCTTTTAATGAAATATATATCACTATCTTAGTTGCTTACTCATGTACGCTTATCGATTTTACATGTCGATGTGCATAGGAGTAGAGAGCATTTCTCCACACTGAATATTATCAATACTAAGCAATGTTCAGATACATGTATGTCATTGTGAACTGCCTTTTAAAATGCTGCTGCAAAATATTTCTTTACATTTCTGTATATATAACACACCTAAAGGCATTTAATGTATATAGCTACTGCTTTTCACCCTTATTTACCATGTGTTTACACTTCAAATGGTTTTATTTGAAAATTTTTTGTGTAGGTGGTTAACTGCATCACATGTGAGTGAGGCTTCATGAGTTAAAAGGATAGTCCATCCTGTTATGAAATCCATGCGACTAAAAGCAAAAATATTTTTAAAATGTAAGAAACCTGTCAGTTGAAGTTTTTGATTTAGTTTCAAGAGGAGGACATAATAAGAACAGACTTTCTATGATGCTGAATTTTTTATTCGCAGATATCAAATTCAATTTTCTTTGGGTAATGGAAATTTTAAAAATAATGCAAATAGCAACAGGAAAGCTCCCCTCACATAGCAAAACTAAAGCATGCAAAACAGATCTACATTTCATTGAGGTTTTCATGACTAAAATTTCCCCTCATCCTTTTTTTAATTAAAATGATTTAGTTTTAATAAGAAATTTATGTTTGCCTGTGATGAGTCATCTGACTCCCTTTGAGGACTATTTCAAAGGAACATTCTAAAACAATATTCCAACGTGATACATCGCACAATCTTCTTTAAATAGCATTGATTGTTTTAGGTTTGCATGTTGCTATGATGTACAGCGTTTCTAATTGCACAGGAAAGTGATGTCCTTTGTGTGTAATGTAACGTGTAAAACATTGACCTTGTGCCCTGAATGACGCAATGAGGATGATGTTTTGTTTGCCCCATCAATAAATGAAGAGATAGTGGAAATATGGGATCATTAATGGACCCACATGTCGTTGTAAGCGATGAAGAGTGAGGGAGACAAATCGCTATCTTTTTTGTCTTTTGTTAGTGATTAATGAAGCATATAAAGCACAAGCTACATTGATTAAGGATTCAATGTATATTGATTTGGATGTCTGTCATGTATCAAAAATAGTCACTACCGTAAGTACTTTGGAGGCTTTAGTTAATGAAGGTAAATTTAGCTTTCTTTGTGTCCATACAGCAATGCTTGACTGGATATATTATTTGCATATTCACTCAAATATATAGAGTTTTGGGAGAGTTAAGAAATAATAATAATAATAATAATAATAATATTTAGCTTTTATATAGCGCTTAATACAAATGTCTCTAAGCGCTTTACAAATAATGTTAGTGGTAAAATATACTATTTTGCCTCTTTGTGTAGAAGTATGTTAATACTGAATTGTTAGATTCTAACCTGAATCTTTTTTGTTTTTTAATTTTTTGTTGTCTATGCAGGTAGGAGCTGAATACTGACAACAGAGGGAGGCTGCAGACGCAGACGGCGTTCGCTCTTGCTGTTCTTTGTAGAGACCCTAAAAATGCATAGATGACACAATTTAATCTGTGGAAACCTTACTACTAAGATTCTTTTAGAAGGAAGAAAACGTACCTAGCTTGTTTGTTTGGAAGGTTTATGTGTGAGAGGAAAGGACTCATCATGAAGCCATCAATAGCAATTTGGAAATCAAAACTCTTACTTTTAATAATCATTGCCCTGTCATGGCAAACAGCAATGTCAATTCGTTTCCTCGGGACTGAGAACACATTCGCACGATATGAGGAGTGGAACAGGACGGTCAACGGAACTCTCAAATTTGAATTCAAGACGGAGAGGAGAGATGCATTACTGCTCTACACAGACGATGGGGGCACGGGGTCAAAGTTCTTCTTAGAGCTGGTCTTGGAGAATGCACAGTTACAATTACGCTTCCGCATCAGGAACAAAGCTAGGACAATAATCATCGGGGAAGAATTGAGTTCAAATACATGGCACAAAGTCACACTGATGAAAAGCCCCGAGGAGTGTGTTATTATCTTGAACGGGGAGAGAAAATCTGGAGCCATTCCTGATGGTCAGGCATCTCTTACCGGCAGTTCAGATTTGTTTATTGGTGGTGTCCCACGTATTTTGCCTCTTACCTACATCTCTCATCCGGAGGTCAAATTTCTGAATCGCTTTGAAGGGCACGTCCGAAATCTAGTGTACCTGGTGAGCGAGCGACCCAAAAGATGGTACCGTCCTGAATCTATGGCAGCGAATGGCATCGATGAAGACCCTTCTGATCTGTGTGGCAGTGATGACTTCTGCAGGAACCAAGGATTATGTGTCAGCTCTGATGCAGATGCAGAGTGTGATTGCTCTGGAACAGGCTACACAGGTCTCACTTGTGAAACACGTAAGTATGATGCACAACATGGGCAAGTATAGTTTCTCTATCAAGCTCTCATCTGCATGTTAAAAATGTAGAACAGTGAGAACCGATAGAGGAATTATACATACACAGTGAAAGGGGATAACATCCATTACCTCACAAATACATGTAATTATCATGACTTGTTTTTAATGCGAGACTGAAAAGTTGTTATTTATTCATCAGTCATTGATCACTAAACACAAGACATGTCTTTTGCAATTTAGAAAAGACAAGAGTTTTACATTCTTCTCTTTAACAGGACCAAACGTCGGAGTAGATACAATGTCATTTTCTCCCCATATGTTCATTAACCATCTGGATGTCTCATTAAAACCTTTTGGATGATATATATATATATATATATATATATTCTTTTGGGGGTGCATTACCACAAGCATTTTTTGTAACTATCGACAGCCAATGTTGCTGTGGCATAGAAAGAAACAAAGAAATTGAGCAGTTGGTATCTTGCTGGTGTAAAACTCTAATCATGGTAAGATAGCAACCAATCTGATTTGTAGTATGCACCAGACCCGGCTATAGCAGCATTCAACAGGTCAAATGAGGTATCAGGAATAAGGTTTTTGTGTTTATAGTCAGGTGTGGCTTTCTTCCGATAGCAGGAGATTTGCACCTGCCCCTTCCAGCTAGATGGTGAAATTCACCATTCCTTGGGATGGTTTTATAAGAGGAGAAGAAGAAGAGAGAGAGTGAGTGAGAGAGAGAGAGAGAGAGAGAGAGAGAGAGAAGGAGAGAGGGGGAGAGGGCTAGAAAAGGAGAGAAGAAAAGAGGATGTAAAAAAATCATAGATAGGTTTATGGATACAGGGGGAATGGATGAGATGCAGGAGGAGGAGAGTAGTCCCCCCCCCCCCCCCCCCCACTGAAAAAAAAGGTAATACAGGAATTTTATAATAGATTGTGAGAGAGAGACACACACATACACGCACAGCAAGAGAGGGGGTGGGGGATAACCACTGAAAAGCAAAGAGGAAGGGATGTTTAGAGAGTTCATATGCAAGTACGACCCGTTCATTGGCTCACAGGCTGGAAATGTTATTGATCTGAATATCCGACATGAGCCGCCTGAGCAGCCTTCTGGTCGGAAGCAGGAATTCTGGCTTATATCCATCATTTGGCAAGGATTGTTTTTCTTCAAGGAGCAGACTGTATTGGTCCACCATCCTGTCTCTCTCTGTCTCCCACCCTTTCTCTTCTCTCTCATCTTGTTCTCTCTCTCTCTCTCTCTCTCTCTCTGTCTTTTCGTCTCTGTCTCTGTATTTGTCCTAAATCTCTCTTTCGCCAATCAATAGCATCAATTACTTGTTATTCTGTCTCTATCCTTCCTCCCCTCATCCGTAGCCTGAGCAAGTATTCCAACTTAAACCATGATGGAAATAAAGCAGATATAAAGTGAGACTTTTAATTTCCCAAGATGTATTCATCAAGATGTATTGTATTCCTGTGAACTTTCATGATTTTCTTTTTTCCTCTTATGTTCCATCGAAGGATGGATTATATTTCCTTAAATCTGTTTGGATTTTGTGAAATTGCTCATAAGTATACAGTATCTCAACTAGGGTAAAAAAAATGTTAACTCTATAAATTGATATATGAGTTAATGCTTTTCTGAATCCAAACAGCCCATTTTATTTTCTTTGATAATCTATACAATACTTCTTTCAGAGGAGATTGCAATGTCAATAATATAAGGATGCTTATACATGGAGTTAGTGTATTCTCATATATATCTATTCTTTCATAAGTAATCTCAATCATGCATTTTTTGTAATAACTCAAGCAGTCTTTTTACTTGGGAAATGTAATGATAACTGAAGTATTTGTTGTGTTTATTTCACTGAAGCACTCATACCCCAAACACAATCTGAAGAAGGTAAGCTGTATACATGTCTGCATGGAAAGCATCCAAGTCGTGTTTGATGTCAAGACTTTTGTCAATGCATTTTACATTTTTAAGGCCTTTTGTTAAGGCCTTTTTTGTGAGGGAGGGGGGCTTAGGGGAAGTTGAGATTTATTTTGCATATTAAGATTTTGCCTTTTGTTAGTATTTCACTTAAAAAGTCAGTCACCTGAATCCCAAGTGAAAAACCTAGTACATCAGTATTTTGAATATACACTAACAAACTCATATGATAACGCACCTCTTTGATTTTGTGCAAATTCTGTGGAATTTTACTACAAAGAGATTAATTATCACTAAAATATCAGACTTTCTTGATTCTGAAGTAGTTTTTTTTTAAGTTTCTGAATTAATCTTTTTACAATTGTTAGTTGAAGTTGAAGTTGAAATCTACAAGAAAAATGTATTTGTGGTAGGAAAGTGTCACTTGATTACTTAGCTGAATATTGCATGTCTGTTTAGATGTTTGTATTATTTTACTGTGATATGTATGTGTTTTGTTGGTTACATGTATGCTGTTATTTTGTAGAGGTATATAGCTTGATATGTATAGAACTATTTTAACAAATTATATCTTTTTATTCCTAATATTTCATACAAGTCCCGAAGGAAATATGTGTAAATATATCTGAAAAAATATTTTTTTAGGGGAAGGGATTTCTAGCAATAGTGTTATTGAATTTGTTGGATTTTGCCCCTTTTAAATCAAAGGAAATTTAATATTTTATTTTACTTTAAATGTTACCCACATTTTTGAAGAGATAAGCAAATGATTTGTTTTATTATCAGTGCATAATAACAAGAGATTTTTTTAAAAGTTTGATATGTTTTAAGTAATGGCAGCTTCTTGTAATATTTCATTCCTTAGTGTATAATGCTGAGCTTTATTAATCTGTTTTTCTTTTCTGTCTGTTAAATTGTTTTTCTTGAATAAATTGTTTTACTTGAATAATTCTTTTACTCTATATTGTAATGCATCTTTCTGTTAACCTGCTTTATCAGCATGTTTAAGAATTTGTGAATTGTTATTCATTCTGAGATTTTCCTTATATGATAGGGATAGAAAATCAATATATTACCATGGGAGAATGATTTAATTCCTTAATGAAAGAAATTATATATTACACAAAAATCCACAAATCTATAAAGAAATTGTAGCACTGGATTCCAAGGAACTTTTTTTTAATGACATAACCAGACGACATATCTAGGCAGCATTCAGTATTGATTGAAATCTATCAGCTCGCTACCCTATATTTCAGCCAATTCTTTTCTGTCTGTTAACCTTCCTGAACTTAGAGCATTTTGTTTTTGATATACTCTTCAGCAAGTTTCATTTCAAAGAATGGGATTTTAATTTGATAGTTAAAGATTTTCTCTGAGGGGAGTGCTCATTTCTGCCTCTCCTATAGTATATTGTTTATCATGAAAATATAGTTTGTTTTTAAGGGGATACAAATTTTCAGTTATGCTTTTCCAGTGAAAAAAGTAATACCATCTACCAGTATACATGTTTATGATATACCAAATTTAAAAGAGAAATTTTCAATGTTACGTAGCATTATGTTGTATGCCTATTCTTATAAGATAGATAGTGCAGTACATCTGAAGTAATGTGTGTTTCTTAATTGGAATGCATGCAATTTTTATTGTAAGTGAAGCCATTTTCAAATGAGCATTTTTTGTTTTTGTGAGTGGAGCATTGTGATCAACTTTTTTTTCTTAATCTGTAGAAATTTTAGTAGAACTTCTTTGTTGTGTCTTTATATGTGCATATATTCATGTTGTATTTTTTCTAAATATCATGACAGTCAGTATGAGCGTAAATATTTCTTAATCATTATTTCAATGTGCCTGTATAAAAATTAGACTACGGCACTTCTGAATAAGACTACTTTGATTCCATTAGAATGTTAGCTGAAGAATAATTGGTGTATGGAGGTGTGAAAAACAAGAAAAATGAATTTAAGGGAGCTTCATATGTATAAGTAAGATACAAGATATGCACAAAATGTTATTCAAAACTCTATACTTTTGTTATGATTTTTTAGATATTCTCATTAAGGTGAGATTAATATGGGAATGCTTAAACAAACATCAATCTGAAAAAAAACACAAATCTATTTATAAGGTCATTTATTCCAAACAATTAAGCTCTGTATCAGCTTTTGATTTTCGGAGAAACAAAATACTTTTCTTGTTACATATCAGTATTAGTTCAGAAAATTGTTTTGTAGAGAAGTATGTATGTTGTATATTAGCAAGAATGCAGTACTGTCTATTGAATTTCAAAATGACCCAATCTTTTTACTTTTCTCATCATGCGCATCTGCAGCACCTGATGAAAAAGAAGGTAAGTTTGGTAACAAGTTCGTCAAGTGAATCGATAGACGTGTATAGTCTTTGTTGTCTAACTACCTGCTTTATGAGACTCCTTGGTCATGTAATGTGTTTTATTTGTTTTTGTCTTAATTTTTCGTTATTTTTTTAAGGGGCTGTTAAGAGAAGGCGTCACAATGGAAATGTCACACAGTGTTTGGTTTATAAAGGATCAAACGAAGAAGTCGTAGAAAACTGCTATACAGGTGAAACTCATGAATGCAGCCAATCGCATTGTTTTGCTGAGAAGGAGTTTATGTGCTTTTGCAAAGGTTCACACATGCATTATCACTCTGTACCAACTGAAGCCTGTTATAGATGCACTTTTGCAAGAGTACACATACACATGACTAAGTAAAGCAAGCTCATGACACTTTTTCACCTTACATCATATTGAGTAGAAGAAAATATAAAGAAGGAGATGAAAAATGGTAATATTGCAAATGTAACTTCGCACTGTAGTTTTTTTCTTCTCCTAGTTTCAGCTATTGCACCTAAGGTATCAGTTGTTATATTGGTTAATTTGTAAATTAAAAATAAATTCAATGCTTCAAATTTTGAAATAACAAATATTGAAAGGAGTTTCAAAAAAATAATCATAATTGCCCCCAAATTTGATAAGTTATTAATTGAAATCAAATATGTACTTCATGACTGAAATAAACCTCACAACTTTTTCATTTTATGCCTGAACTTCAAATTTATTCAATCAGTAGGAACGATAACATTTGTTGTATGATTGCCACATGACACGTTTTAATTGAAATGTTGATAATTTAGAGCCACCCATCATAACATTCTTCACACAAAAAACCCTGATGGGGGATGACCAACAATCATGTTAGAATTGTGTGTATATTTCATAGTTTGTTGTGACATCTTCTCTTTAACAACTTCACATAGTACATGTACATGTATATTTCATAGAGAATTTGATATTCTGCAACTCTGCATGTGCATTTTGACATCTCAAAGAAAGACGGCCTGCTGATGGCCAGAAAGCCAGGCAGTCCTAGGATCTTCATGAAGAGGCGAAAGGGGGGAGCTTTGAATGTTAAATCCCCGAAATTGTTTCCAATCTAGCTCAATGTACCTGTGTGTATTAATGTTGCATTGTGAGTGGAAAGTAAAGGAGACAACACCACAAAATTTAGACATAATTTGATTCTGTAGATTTGTTAGAGGAGATGCGTGTTGGTGAATATTTGTGTTTAATTTTAGAATAGTGTTTGTAATCATGTGGTATTTTTCTGTGATTTTCTTATTACCAATGATTATCTGTTGCTTTCTTTCTTTTAATTGCATTAGCTAGAAGGAAATTTGTGCCGTGTATTTCAATATTAAACAACATCTAAAATAAAAGTGCCACTGATCAGTATGTTATCCCTCTTTGTGGAATGTTGATCAGAAAAAACTTGCAAACCATAATTTGGTTCCAGCTTGCTTATTTTGGTTGTGCAGCTCTTTAGAATAGACATGATGGCAGTGTCCTGAAAAGCTCAGTACCTGGGTAAATTACCTTAACAAGGTCCATTAAGCAGAAAACTGCCATAATCCATAAGATCCGGAGTTTAAAACTACCCTAATTTGGATGTAAATTAACATTTTTGTTTGACTACACGTTTTGCTTGATAACATCCATTTCCATATTTTTATCCCTCAGAATTATCCATCACATTTGTTTTTATGGCCGCTCTTGAATGCCACTATAGTTGCAGCATCAAAACAAATTCCAGTGGTGAATTATGGTAGATCGAAGGAAATGAGATTTAGCCTGCCGTGCATTTACGCTTTGCTTTCGACGTATGGTTTTATGCTAGAAAAAAAATCATTACGGTGATCTGCAGGAAAATGAAAGATGATGATAAACATTGCCGATGCCTTTCAAGTAATGATGTAAAAGCCATGGTATCTAAATTGATCAAAATTGCAAAGAATAGAAAGATACGCAAGAATATGACACTTAACCCATGCAATGCTATATCATCTGTAGCTCAGCAGAGCTTCATGCTGGTATTTCTTATGGGGATGGGAACTTGATGAAAATTTATCATCAGGAATATGTTTTGTAGCATATTCATGTAAGTCTACCTAGGTGTTCTGTCTGGCATTGCTAATTGTGGTCCCTTGGGTTTTTTTTTTCAACTTCCAACGATCATGAAGAAAGAGAACCGAGTCGAAAAACTTGTCAAGTCAGTGCGAGTATACCTTGCGAGGACCTTATAAGCTTTGTAGTAATATAAAGCATTGAAGGTAATTTTAACATGTTTTAGTTCAAATACTAAAAAAAAGGATTATGTTTTTTTATTATAAGCTTGCATAAAAGATGAGATCATGGGGGTGATGGGGGGAATATGCCTGTGGGTGATCAATGCCTGTATCAGGTATTGACACTTGCCAGCCATTGAGGCGAATCTTAATCAGTCAAGCTTAATTTTATACAAGGGTGATGCTCTTCTGTTAAACTAGTTTGGCTGGCTTGTGTTTGTCTAAGAAATACCAACCTACAGGTGAGGTATGGTGCAGTTCTTGACACTGCAATGAATCGAGATGTCTTTAACAAAAGGTCAGCCGTCAAGTTAGCGCTTCCCAGAGTTCACTTTACAATCAAATTTGCTTTCATGATGTTCTTCAAGACCCATTGATACTTAACCTGTCTTCTTAAATTGGATTTCTTTATGAGATGACTTTCCCAGGTCTATGGAATGCAGTGCATTGCCAGGTTACATTAATCCAAAGTTCAGGCATGGTGGTTTTTAATTAAACTCTCAGAAATTCCAGGTAGAGAGGGGGACGTTATAGGGCTTGTTTCACATCTTTTAATTCAAGATTTGCGTGTGAGTATACTTTGTGTTTTATCAAATGCATTCCAAGATCACTCTTACAGTTTCTTTTCTTTTGATGGCTTATCTGAAGCTCATATTGAATGATGCGTAGGGGGTTTGTAATGGGGCTTTGGTGTAGGATTTGGCAGAGCTGCCAAACCTCCCGGATTAGTTGGGAGACTCCCGGAAAATCCACCATTCTCCCAATACCCTGACACACATACAAAATCTCCTGGATTCTTACGGTAAAAGAATTAATCCTGGTGGTATCATTTTATGCGGGGTTTCATGTTATCTATTAAGTTTAACCTCACACATGTGGGAGCGACTTCATGTCAATTTTCTTTGATCTAGTCTAGTAGATATCATATTTTCATGATCTTTGCAAACATCTAAATGTGAATGCATATGTACAAAATTTGTGAATGTGTACTTGATAAGTTAAAAATAAGGTTATAATTGGAGTCAATTTGATACCTGTTTTTATGCAAAAAGGGGGCATATTTTGTTGACAATTTGTGCATAAAAAGGGCGTGAGAATGGTAAAACTGATAGAAGACAAGGGAAGACACCTGTAACAGGAACTTTAAAAGAAAGAGCTTCCTTGTCAGCTATTTGTTTTGAGTCATCATTAAAAAACATTCTGTGGGATAAACAATCAATGCAGCTATTCAGATGTTCGAATTCAAATATTTTCTTTAGTCGAGGGTGTATTGATGACAAGAAATATCATGATGTCGGTCATATGGTCCTCAGGCTTTGTGACCTTAATGAAAATAAAACAATGAAGTTGGGTGAAGAGGCAGAGTTTGGCATGTGATGGATAGAAAGAGAGATAACAGAAGGGGAAAAGGAAAGAGAGGGAGTGCAAGAGAGGGAGAGAGAGAGAGAGAGAGAGAGAATCAGAAGAGTGAACTTTATAGTGTTATGCAGCACAGAATATGCGAAATAAATACAAATAATAAATGATCTTTATATAAAACAGTTAGTGGTTGATAAGAAGTAGAATATAGTATAGAAAGAAAATTGCCAGAGTCCGATAGCTGATAATGAAGTTCATGTGTAGAAAACAAAGAAATTATGAGACTTTGAAAAAGAAACATGTAAAGAACTGGATTATATGGAAAGGTGAGACAGATTATTATGATATATAAAATAACATATCTTGGACTAAAGTGGGTAAGAGAAAGTGCAATGTGGCACAGGACAAAATAACAAAGTATATCATCCACGCTCTCAAGAGGGAGAAACTTTATACTTGCAATCTGACCTTTACAGCTTCACAATTCAGCCCTAAAGAAATTTTCGTTTCATTGACTAAATTTATGAGTAGGTAGCTGCTACTGGACAAATCTATTTGACAAGCTACGTAATGCAGAATGTTGCCAAAATTATTATTCTGCTACTGTTACGGTTATACTGTGATTTTGTAAGGTAAATTTACACAGACTGCATGCTGACATATTTAATTTGATACTAAATATTCAGTAAAGTTCAGCTGGATGACAGCTGTCCCAAATTTACAAAAGAAGGCTTACATGTAGGAGACATTTGACTTAATTTCATATTCATGTCATGTTTCTCACATAGTGCAGGTATCATTATTTTTAGTTCCATTAGTTAATTTCAACTCAGCAATAAAACCATTATAATTTACATTAACAAAGACGGTTGACTACCAAAATATATTGCTAGAGTAAGTTAGCAAGCAACTTGGTAGGGATATTTTCTTCTTGCTCCAACATGAAGGAAGGCTTGTTACAGAAATAGAAATCTTCAGTATTTTATGAAATCACATTATGTACTTCTTCTTACATTGAATGCATTTGCTATGAAATGGTTTCATAAAGCTTTTTTTTCTTCATTTTTCCTCCATCAAAGTATGTAGAGGATTTGTCATTAATTTCATATGAAGGTCACATGTGCCCTCTGAAATGTTAATGAAATAGCTCTCTTAACGGCAACAATCATCTCAAATACGTGAATTATGAAAGCAAAATATTCATGGAATTCTAGTTAATATTTGAGTCAGATTTTTTTGGTCATACATAGATGCAATAGAAAGCACATATCATAAATTCAGTGTTGTTTAACCTACTCATACCAATGCAGTAAGTGTGTATAAGATCTTCATCTCAACTACCTGACC